GGGCTTCTTCCTGCTTTCCCTTTCGCCTCCCTGCATTGTGCCTACATATGCAAATTAACCACCATCTTGTTGGCAGTTAACTGCCAATCTTAGTTGGCAGTTAATTTGCATATAGCCCTGATTAGCCAATGAAAAGGGTAGCATCGTAAGCCAATTACCATTTTTCTCTTTTATTAGTGTAGATACCTGTGTTTTCCTTTATTACTTTCATAGCATCACTTAAAAAACACAATTGAAACAACAAACCAAAAAAATCACTAATTCTTTGACCCACTGAAATTTACTCTAATGAAACTAATTTTGGAATACAGCTATAACCTCATCACCCACCAAGTTGCTAGTCCCAACACAATTCCACAAAACATTCCCACTGATTAGCTTTGTGACCATTATATGTGCTAAATTCAGCTTTTCCTTCCAAGCCAGGATGAAAAAGCCTACCAGGATTACCTAGATGCTTACGTCCTCATTAACTCTCCCTCCAAACAAATCAGGGGGTAATTCAGCAGTACTGATTCCTGATTATTTGGGCAACCTCCTCCCCCCTCCTCTCTTGAGACAGGGATGCAACTTGTACCAGGCCACCCCTCTAGAGTCCCAATTTGCCCATGATGGTTAAGAAGCAACAACGGTGGTTGAAAACACATTTCCTTTATTTAAACAACCTCTTGTCCATTAATGTTTATAAGTACATTAAAGGAATACATTACAATTTTACTTTCTCTAGAGCAGGTTTTCTTACTACTGGCATTTTGGGGCAGATAATTCCTTATTCATTGCAGGATGTTTAGCTTCTACTCCCCAGATACCAGTAGCATCCTCCCTGTTTTCTAGCTATGGTATTTATACAGGCAAGTGTTTTTTTTCTTTATTTAGAACAGGTATTTCACTTTTGCTTTTTCTATTATATAAGGTGTACATATCAAATGTTATAAAAGTCATTATAAAAACAATACAACTACAATTGAGCAGCACTTTCTAACTGAAGAAGCAAAGAAATTACCCTAAATAACACTATTTGGCAGTATTAGAAATAAAATGACTAAAATGGGTTTAAATTGACTAACAGTACTAACCACATCTACTATTCAATACTACATATACATCATTCATGCAGCTAAAAGATAGTTATGCAAAATATGTTAATAGCAAAGAATAAAACCAAAATTAAGATAGCAAACAAAACCTATATAACCTCTTTTTAAACAGGAAAATACTTCATATATGTATATGACTGTTCATTCTCATAAACAAAATCTACAGTAAGCAGTTATCAACTTCCATAAAAACCACACATAGAATTATTAAACATATTCCTAAAAGTATAAACATGAACATTTGGAAAATACAGAACTTTAAAAATTTGTAAATAGGTGAACTTGAATATGAAAAGTCCCATTTTAAGCACAGTTGCATGAAAAGTCTTTTGATGTGAAGTCTATGAATTATCCTTTTTTGGGATCAAACTTGACAAAACATGTTTTCCAAATGATATTACAGAACAATGTAATCTTATACATATTTTAACCTTTTTTCACTTTTTTAACCTTTAACTTTTACTACTCCATTAAAACATGACATCTTAACAACATAATCATGTATTTTTAACTTTTTAAACGAATCTATGAAAACATGACCCTTAGATATATAAGAATCAAAAAAGGATCTTTTCTCCTTTTCACTGGCTATTTGTTCTTAGCATGCGTTAAGATATGAGATTTCAGGTTAGTTGACTGAGCAAACTTCTTATCACAACCCTCGAAGGGGCAGGCATAGGGCTTGTCACCTGTATGGATTCTCACATGTGTACGCAAATTGAAATCCAGGGAAAAGTATTTTCCGCAGCCTTCAAATGTGCACTGAAAGGGCTTCTCTCCAGAATGCACCAGTTGATGCCGTTTTAGTTTTGAGCTCTCAATAAAACCTTTGCCACATTCTGCACAGATAAAGCCTTTAGGACCGTGGGTGTGGTGATGTTTTCTCATAGAAGAGGCATCCCGGAACATCTTTCCGCAGCCTTTCTGAAGGCAAGGTACTGTTCTTGGAATGTCATCTTTGCACTTTCTGGGCTTCACTTTAATAAATTCTGCCACCTGTTTGGGATCTGATAAGTCAATGCCAGGTAGTCCTCCAGGAGGAAGCTTCTTTCCCGTCAGATACTCTGAATAATCAGGATCTAAGTTCGGTAAGTTCACCGGACTCTGTCCTTCAATCTCCTGACCGCTTTCACCAGCTTGGGACCGCATGGTGACGGAGAACTCACCCTTTAGGGTTTTGACCTGCACCTGCTCCCGCTCCCACTTTCTGTTGCCTTCCTCCGAGCCGCTGCCTCCCACCGCCCCGGCCGTGCTTTTGGCGGTGCGTTTCTTACCCTTGCTGGTGTTTTCCATACCGTGGCCAGCGTTTTCCATACGGTGGCTGGCGTTTTCCATACGGTGGCCGGCGTTTTCCAAACCGTGGCCGGCGGCGCTTTGCTGGCCAATGCGGAGCTTTTTGAGCTTTTTGCCGTGGCTGCTGTGCTTCTTGCTTTGCTCACCGTTGCTAGTGGTGCTTTTTATACCGCCGTTAGTGGTGCTTTGCTGATAGTGGCTGGTGAAGCTTTCCTGACCGATGCGGAGCTTCTTGAGCCATGATGCCGCGGAGTCTGACAGGGAAGCTGGAGTTTCCTGGAAGTAGGCTTCTTCTTCCACCAGGACAGGCACCCA